ACATTGTACCGTGGAATAAACAAATGTATGAGGTCATTGTCACATGTGCCACACAGTCAGTGTCTCCATTTTGTCATGATGACCAGAAAGGCATTGGCATTGCTGAGTCTTAGCCAGCCGGTGGCTGTGCAGTGTTGGGCCTCGCTCAGGGACAGGGTGGGCAGGGCTCCATCTCCTGCCGCTCTTGACCTTGGTCCTGTCTTTGCAGTGCGAGACATCCCTGGATGGAGAAGCTGGGCTCTGCTGGTGTGTCTATCCATGGAGTGGAAAGAAGATCCCTGGGTCTCTGGAGACCAGAGGGGACCCCAACTGCCACCAGTATTTCAATGTACACAACTGAAAGGAGTTCTTTTCCTTCTTCGTGTTCTTTCACACAAAATATTTAAGTACATAGTGTATTTATATTCCAGAGCACACCATTTTATATATGTGTATATGTATATATCCAGGAACTACTTTTTATACTCCACATACTGCTTGATATATGAAGCTGGTTTGTATTTATTCACTCTAAGTTTATTTTTTTTCTACACAGTTCTTATGCTATATTAATTTATATATCATGACGTGCTTCTCATCACTATATATGTAAATACCATGTCTCAGCTCATCCTTGTGCATTGAAGGGGCAGAGTGATACTGCCTCAAACATGCACACGGCAGTCTGAAGTAGGGAGTTTTCCAGTGACTTAAAGGAGGGAAGTTAGCCTTCCCATAGGGTGATTTCCTCCTTGTAGCCTACACATCTGTGTCTGATGCACATTTGCAAGGAGAGTTACAGTGTTGATTATGTGATCAAAGCCAAAGGTGGAAAGCTGCATCTGATACATTGTTAAAAATACATCTGGAATAAAGATTCTCCCTGGAAATACTGTGTCTTTGTGGAGTGCCAGCCTCATCTTTGTTCCTGCAGTCTGTCCTTCCTCCTCACCTGACTCTTAGCCTCTGCTTTGGGGATACAGTATGATATGTGGTGCTCCCTGGGCCAGACTAGAGACCCCTTCCCTCTCAACCCATCTCCCTTTCTCCCCAGGGCCCTCAGCCTGTCCCCTCCTTAATGCTCTTTAACTTATTAATATGCCCAGACTTCCTCTAACTGAAACACACATTCAGAGAAGTAGTCATTGGATTGTTTTGCTTTTGAGATAGGGTCTTACTCTGTAGCCCAGGGTGGTCTAAAGTCACAACAATTCCCCTGCCTCTGCCTCCCAAGTGCCAAGAGCTACCATGTCTAGATTTTGTATTGTTTTTGTTCTCTAGCCTTCTCAGGCTTCCAGAGTCACCATCCACCTTTGCCCCAGCTGGTTTTCAGCACATGCTCCTCTCGCTCAAGTTTCCGGGCCAGAGCCCTGGCCACAGCTGTGTTCTCCACTTTCTATATTGCCTGTTTCTTGCCTGATGCTTGTGCTTGCCCCCTGCCCCCTGTCCCCAACTGATTGTTCCTGGCCTTGTGATCCCTGTCTTTCCAAAGCATTTTGTCCATCCCAGATCAGATCATTGCACTCAGTCTGCCTCTAGGCCTGCCTGCTGATGTGTGACAGGGAAGCTGAGGCTTCTCCTCCCTGCAGGACAATTCCCCAGATGCTATGGCTATTTCTAACTTCCTGGTCAGTGATAGTCCTGAGCCAGGCCCTTCTCTGGAGCTGTCAACTCCTTCCCCAGTGTATGGCTGCTATCTTTTCTGTTGAGCTCGGCAGTCAGGCTTCTCATAAAAGTGTAGCATCTATCTATCTAGGACAAAGCCAGGGGCCTGGGGGCTAAACACCCTTAAAGGCAGGGGCTTCTGGTGACTTAAATCAAGCACAATATGGAGTAGGACCAGACTGGGGTCCTCAGGATCAAGTTTGGAGTAAGTTGTGTACCCTCACAGGATCATGTTTGGTTAAATCTCTGGGCACCTTAGGGTCCAGTCTGTTGATTTATAAAACTAGTAGTCAAAAATCTACTCCATGGCAACTTGACATCCATATTCATCACTTTAAACCATACTTAGTCTCCAAATAAAGTCAAAAATAAGGTCATAACTCACAGCATGAGACAACAGCCTCGTGTTCAACCAAAAACGGGCTATACCCTTCCCTCGAAGAAGAAGCAAAGCTCTGAGCAAGGTCCACCCTTACCCGGATGTCACACAGCTTAAATACTATAAAGTGAACAGCATTCAAACCCTGTCATGGAAAGCCACTATTTCGTTCCTAGCAGTCCTCCTGTCTCTGCCCTGTCCCACAAATTCTGCAACTCTGAGCTTACAAGGTGCTGGGTTCAGAACTCAGTCCTCATGCCCACACAGCAAACCCTTCACCCACTGACTCACTGAGCCATCTCCTTGGACCCCCACCACCCCTACCCACTGTGATTCTCCATAAGTGCCCCCCGATCAGCTCGGTTCCCGCCGAACAGCTGGCGGCTGTAAACTTGCACAAACCAGATGCGGAGTATTTTGCTTTAGTGTTTCTATCCCAAGTGGATTCTGACTCAGCTTTCTAAAATGGAACCAGCCAGGGCCAGGCACGGCCCTAAAGCCCTTCTTCCTCACAAGGAGGGGGGTGTAAGAGGTGGGCACAGCCTGACCTCCAGGCCTGGCCGGTTGATCTTGATATCTGGGTGTTGTAACTAAGAAAACACTTTACAGGATCCCAGCGTTCCAGACCCGAGCTTCCCTGCCATCTCTGCGTAGCAGCAGGACAGCTTCCTCGTGGTGGCTGGACAGATCTCTATTACCTGCTAGGGACTCTCCGCTGTATTTGTTGATATGAGGATCTCAAAATGGTCACGTGGCAGCCCTAACTTCTAGTATAGTGAACACTGTTGGGTCTTCTGGTAGAATCACTGGAACCAGTGTCGCTAGGTCAATAAATAGAGCACAACACCGTGGGAACAAAAAGCAAATGTGCTGTTCGTCAGGCAGAGCAAAATGAATGGTGCTAAACTCGCCCTGTGTGGCCACCCTCCACCCCCAACCCCAAGCCAAGTACCTTGTGTTAGACTTGAAATGATGTAGAGCCATCTGTGAAGGTCTGAATCCTCTTGTTCTTTGTCAGAGGAGACAGATGCATTCTGGCAGAAGGAACTCCCGAATCTTTCCAGGTCATTGATGGCCGTACTAATGCTTAACAATTTTTGACCCAAATGGAGTTCCTTTCTCTCTTGGCATTGTGGCACCAAAAAAAAAAAAAAAACCTGATTGCTAATTTAGCTTTGAAGAAATTTTATTCTTTTGTTAGAGAATAAGGAATTGCTGGGAGAAATAGCTCACAGATCAGTTAGCAGATGAGGATGGGTAGCCTTTTGAGTCAGAGGGGAAGGGATGGGTCTTAGCTAATGAGTAGGAGGGTTATTCATGACTTTCCAGGAAGAAGGTTGGTGTCAAGGATAAAGGGGATCCTTCATGGCTCAAACAGGTTTTGCCCAGTTCTGTCCAGCAACACTGAAATTCCCTGCATCTGAGGGACTGGACAGGTGGCTCTGTCCCTGAAACCAAGCGCTGGTTAGCAAAAATGAGTGGTTCTCAGGTTTGCAAGGGTTTTTGTCTGATGACAGTTTCTAGGAATGTGCTGTTTTCAATCCTGTAATATACTAAAGTGGAGGCATTTCTCATAGCCTTTGCTTGGCCTGTTTGCAAAAGCCTCACACTCAAGGAACCAGGCTGCCAATAAAGCCAGCTGGTAAGTGTATCTTTTCCAATTATGCAGTCTGGAACTGGCACACACCCAGCCAACAGACAGGAATCTGCGCTAAATCTCAGCTGATCATCTGGCTTTCACAGGCTCCTACCTGTGATTATATTGTACAGCCCCAGATCTCCACGTGCTCATTGACCCAACTTCCTGTGATTCTGCAATCACTTCTGTCTGAAGGACTTTAAACATGGCTCTAAACAGACAGTGTATGTCATGGTCCTAGGACATACTTGGAGTTATTTTGGCATTGGACCGTTGTTCTCAAGCCATAGTGACTGAGGTGTCAAAAGCTGTCACAGCATCCTTTGGGGTTCTCTCTCTGGACTCAGTCCACATCCCTTCTCCAAGCTCCCAGTGGCAGAAAGGCTAGCGACATCATTCATACCACCTGCATGGGAAGTTGCACTGAAGACCTGGGGCACAAACTGGAAAGGCCAGAACCAGAGTGTCATGGAAACAACCTACTGATCTGTTTTACCTGCCTAGACCAACACATAATAGTTGCCAACACAACCTAATGGACCTAGATATTCCTCTGCGTGTGTCCTGATGCCGAATGGATGCCAACGAAGGCCCAAGAACAGTGCCACTGAGGTTCTTCTCGTAGAGATGGAATCAGCTATGATGTCTATTCACGTTCATAGCATTTTTCTACTATGTCTAGAATATCCTGCCCACTCAGAGTAATCTCTTTAGTGACTCAATACCCAGAAGGAGACAAAAGAACGCGGTTTTTTTTCTTTTAAATGATAAAAACTTTATTTACTATTTATAAATACATTGCAAGACAAACTTTTCAAAAATACATTTTCCCCCAAAACTTAATTAAAAAAATAAAGAAAAGCTGATAGGCAGGCAGAATGTCTTGAGATTCCTTTGTGCTCTCAAGAAAAGCTCTGTACAGTTCATGTCCACCCCGTGGGATGCAGTACAGTCTCCTCGCACCCTGTGTTGCCAGACCTCCTTGGCCTTGGCCTTGGGGAGAGCAGCCCAGCCTCCAGACACGGGCTCCTTTCCTTGGGCGTGCCTGTGGTTACTTTCCCTAGCATCTCTAACATTTTATCTAGGATTATCTAGTACAGATTCTATTATATTTGGGCTATGTCGTATACAATGTTAACAATTAAGAACATACTTTGTCTGCATATATGTGTGAATTATAAAGAAAGTTGAGAAGGACCCCAAGATTAACAAACAGGCGATTCTCTATGTATTCTTGCCAGGTTCTCCAACAAGCCAGCTCTCTTTCCTGTTTAGATAGGAAGAGGAAAACAAACCTTTCTTTTGAAAATCCCCCCCATCAGCACTGCCCACAATAAACTTTATTTTGAGAAATTGGACCAGAAAACACTGTTGTGATTTTTTTTTTTTTGAGTCATCTGAAGAGCTAACTGTACCATTATTTATGACATCTCTGAACTTGGAGGCTGACACTCACTGTTCCTCCCACCTGGGGCCTTCTGCTAGGCCAAGTCATTCAGGAAGCTGCCTGACAAAGGAAGGTCCTTGTCTTTGTCTTTATGGGCTCTCAGAGTGCCCTAGAACATTCGTGGTCATTTTCAATAAGAGAGGCTTCACCTATTCTCTCCCATAGTTCCCAAGGAGATCAGGTCACATGCAGATAGCGGGCCAGGCCCTCGATTCAGAGACGGCACCGTAAGGACCGTGAGCCTTAGAAGTACGTGTCCAGAAGTCCGGTGACTTGGTTAGGGGTTTCCCCATCCTCCATAGTGCCCGCACTTATTTACAGGGAGTGGAAAGAGGGTTTTTCTCTATCAGCAACAGAACCTCTGAAATCAAGAAGGCAGATGGCCAGCAGCATTGAAGCTCATACTGGGTGGTTACGGGAGGGGGCAGATAGCATCCATGGCCCGGAGTAGGTGAGTGTTTTCATAGGAAGCAACAGGAAAATTCAAACCGCTTTTTGTTGACTATAGGGAAGTAGAAAGATGATCAAGTTTACTACTTAAATGACCAGAGGCATTTCAAAAAAATCTGTCTAAGCTTTGGTTTTCTGTGTTTTCTTTTGTTTTTGTTTTTAATCAGTCCACCACAAAAAGAGAGAGAAAGAAATATAACTCAAGGCTGTAGCCAGCTGCTCATCACGTTGTTGCAGTCTTTTGTGCAAAATAAGGCGTATTTGAGCTCCACGTTAACTAAAAGAAATAAGGGGGAAAAAGAGTCAGATATACACTGAAATAACTACCTCCGAAATCCAAGAGAGCGCTCTCCAAAATGGTGGCTTAGAGTGTCAATGCTACAATGGGTTTAAATAATCCTTTTAAAAATCATACTAAAGGAATGTTCTTAATTTTTTTTTTTTTAATTTACAACAAAACAAAAACTAGGAAAAATCTCTAATTCACAAAACAGAGTGCTGATCAGTCCTGGATGAAAACAGTATTCCTTCCCAAAAGGCAAACCACAGGACTTCCTCAGATAAAGTTTTATTTAAAAAAGTCTTCACAGTGCTTGCTTGCATATGAAAGCCGGCATATTTTAAACCATTTAGAGTAGAGCGGCTTGACTTTAAACCATCTGGTCTCTGTCCTTGAGGGCATGGTTGCACTGGGGACCTTCTGCCTGAACTGTCCCTTTGCCTCCCTCTCTTTGGGCCAATGAGCCCAAGTGGAGGAGTGGGCACCTGGTGGTCACAGTTGCTCCTAGCAAGTCCCTTTACGCTCCACCATTTTGAGAAGGAGCTGACCCTGGGTCCCGCACCTTTGGCTTACGTGGCGTGGCACAGCGGCATCTACTGGCTCTGCACACTGAGGCAGTGCACGTCATCTTTGCCCTTGGTGTCATAGCCCGGCAAGGGCTGTCCGTACTTGTCCACACACCAGCAGAAGCCCCGCTTTCTGCCTTTGGAAGGGCGGCACTGAGGGAGGGAGAGACAAGACCGGGACATGAACACCGTGGGTGCTGGCTAGTTTTATGCCAACTCGACCCAAGCTAGAGTCATTTGAGAAGAGGGGTCCTCAGCTGACAAGAGGACAAGCCTGTGACGCGTCTTTTGATGGATGTGGGAGAGCCTCGTTCACCAGACAGTGCTACCCTTTGACGGTGGCCCTGTTATGAGAAAGCAGGCTGAGCGACCCACAGGGAACAAACCGGCGAGCAGTGTCCCTTCATGACTGCATTTCTTGCCCTGACCTTCTTCGGAGGACTGTGGAGTGTGCTGAGTTAATCAGTGCTTACTAACAAGACGCCCAGGCTCCCTGATGAAGGCTGCAGTATAAACACTGGAGCGTGGACATGCTTGGTGAGCACTGTTCACTGCCACCTTCTAGATTCATGTGTGGACTGCCCGATTAGAGAGCCACTAGGTGATGCATACATGTATCAGGAGAGGGGCGCAGTCAGAAGAGGAGGCTGGGTGGAGTTCCTACAGGTAAACTGTGCAGCTGATGACACACAGAACCAGAGGAGACAGAGGAGGAACACACCCCGGGGCCCTTCTCACCTGCTTCTTCTTATAGAAGCCCTTCTTGTCACAGTTTGGGATGTGGACACCTCTGGGACTCAGCACATTGAGGAACTTCAGATGATTCAGTGTGTCCTCCATTTCTCTGCGGCAGGGACCCTGAGGGCACAGTTGCTGTTTTGAGAATCCCATTGACCTTGTTGAGAGGAATCTGTGACGTGCCTCTCCAGGACATTCTGCTTGGGTTCGTGAGAAGGTCCCTGGAGGATACTAACCATCACTCCCTGTCTCTTTTGCTCTCTCCAGAGTAAACAGAGGATCTGGAAAATGCCCCAAGAATAGGCCAGTAGGCTTTGGAAAGCCCAGTGAACTATACAAAGCCATCTTGTGGGAAGTCTAGTTCTTCACCTGCAGGGCCCACCACATAATTTACTAGTGCAGTTCAGCTTGGACCTCCTAAGAGTCTCTGAATAAGAGGTGGGGCTTGGAAGGGAGAAGCTGCCCACCCATCCGCTAGGACTCCTGGGACCTGCTGCATGAAGACTCCCTTGGGGTGTTCCCTTCTCCCCTCACCCCCATCAAGAGGAAAAGTTCTCACGTATTCTGTCTCCCGCTTAGACTCAGAGGAGAAGTTCTGGGTGTCTGTGCTCTGTGACTCATAATCTACTTTGTAGCGCTGGCTGTCCTTAGCATGGCCTTTTTTGATGACATCCATTTTCGTATGGAGTGGATGGAACTTGGAATCAGTCACTCGGTGTGTGCTGGGGACAGCCTGGCTTTCCACACTCCCAGCATTGTGGTCCTCCTCGGACTCACTGGTGTTTCCTGGAAAAGAACATGGGGATAAGGAAATGATTATTATTGACAATGCAGTAACAATGTTTTCAGAACCAGGTCACACCTAAAAGGCAATGCCATTCAACAACTCTTAGCAAGAAAAAGATGACTGGATAAAGCATTCTAGAATATTACCTGTTGCACCCCAAATGCTTCACTTCAGGAAGCCTTCTGTTGGAACGTTTCCCTGTCAAGGGCTTTTACTATCCAGCTGCAAGTGAAGGCAGCTAGATGAGAAAGCAGCAGGCTCCACCTGCCACCAGCAGGGGGCAATCGTGCACCATGGAATGCTGCTGTCGAGGTGCCCAGAAACATCATCCTATAGGACTCCAAATACCGTTCTCTCAACCCCGGGCACAGTTGTTGGGGGTAGGACAAAGCGGAGGAAAAATATATCATTCTCTACCCATTGTCAGCAGCAAACGGGCCTGGGGATTTTGACATTCACTCAGGTTTGCTGTGAGCTCCGGTTTCATCTTAAGTAGCTCACGTCGAGGACCCTGAACAGAATCATGTGGGCACTTAGAAAGGTTTGTTTCTGAGGTGCTGGTACATCTTTCAACTTCAAGGTCCACAAAGACTCTGCGTTTTGGGTGGGAGGGGCACCTTCTTGGGTGAACCTTTCCCATCCTCAGCAGTGTAGCCCACAGCTTAGACCTCTTGGTGCCCAGGTGCATTCCTTACCTTGAAGAGGGGGAAGGAAAGGGGAGGTGAGAAGCAAGCTCCTTCTTAAAGGGGCAACTTTCATCACCTAAGGGAGAGGGCCCTAACTGATACCGATGTTGCTGGAAGGTTAATGGATTCATGTGACTAAATTTGTGGCTGGACAGGAAGCCAGACTTTGACACTCCATTTGCAGTAAGACCCCATGGGGCAAGGCCAGATGACTGGCTCCCAGCTCCCAGCTCTGAACTTTAAAGCTTCAGGTTCAACCTTCAGGTCTCGGCCACAGGATTCCTTTGCTCCCGAGAAAGGGGCTTTCATAGCCCCCCCCCCCCCCAGCACAAAGTTTGAGGTGGCCATCCATCTGGTTCTGAATTTATTCTGTCTGGGTGCAAAATGCAGGTCTCCAGCTGGCCTCTCTCTTTCTATTTTGCCTCTCCGTTATTCTGCATTCTTCCCATCGGGAAGACATGGGTTTCTGGCTCTAGGTCAAGAAGAGCAAACACTTCACTCTCTGGAAACTGCCAGAGGGCTCCAGACTCCCCTGACGCAGAGGAACTAACCTGTAGAACCCCAGGGAGGCCCTCTTGCCTAGGAGCCTCAGTTTCTCACCTACCAAATAGCATCCTGCGTTCCAGCTGCAAACCCCTCAATGAATTCTATGCCTTCTCAAGCACAAATTCCCAGGGTCTAGCCCAGCGCCTGGACTTGAATTCAACTTTGTGTTAATCTGAGTGGTCGTTTGCTTGCTTGTTTTTTTCAAAGTACAGGCACAAAAGCGAGGCTAATATGTAAATGAACACATTTGCATTTGTCTTCCAAGAAGCTGGAGTAATTTCTTAAACTTCCCTGTCTTATTTTTATTTGATGTTATCCTTAGACCGATGACTGTGGGAGAATATGGTTCAACTTAAACAGGGAATTGTGAATGTGTCTCGGACTATAATCCCCCCCCCCCCATGGATAGTAGAAGCCACTGAACTCTTACAATTAAAGCCTGAATCATTTTTTTTTTTTCTACAGTGTTCAATGGTGATGTTAACAGTGGCCATTAAACCCTAACTCAAAATAGCAATGTTGCTATTTCTTGAGATGACTTCTTTCTGGTATACTACAGGACTCACTAGAAATCAAGGCCACACAGGCAAAGGGCAGGCATAACTTTGCTTTTTGACTGAGTCAGCATAACAACTGGAGTCTTGCTTGCTCTGCCAGGAATCCGGTGTTTCTGGAGGATGAATAAACCAGGACTTGCCCGTACCCACCAGAGCGGCTCTGCAGCCACAGAACTCATAAGAGGACTGTCTGCCCAGCTGGCCCTGGCCCCGGGGGCTCGCCCTGCGCCATCCGCCAGCCTGATGTGGGGAAATCGGAGAATTCTAGCCTTCAGCTGTGCAGGGCAGGAACTTGACTCATAACTAGGCGAGAGTGGCTAAGAATGCTGGACGTTTAGAGCAACAGCTGCCAAACCCATTTCATTTTTTTCCCCCTTTTTATTTCCTAAAGAAGCAACGCGATGCCCCTTAGAATAGGCATCTGCTCGACAGCGCCTGCACTAGGAGGGGTCCCTGCCTCGGGTTTGCGATTTTCCTCACCGGGCTGCCTCCACTGCGCCTCACTCCTGTGTGGGATTAGGGAGGCTGACATTCCAGGGTTGCATTTGTAGTCTCTGCTTCAGCAGAGAAACTGCCCGGATCTGCATTTCCGGCAGCACGTGCATCTGGGGTGTGGTCTCCGAGCCTCGAAGGCGCCTAGGGCAAGGGAGGGTGCCCAGAGAGGGCAAACGGGGCTCAAAGGCTGCTGCAGCTCCCGGCGACGCCGCTTTCTGAACCTCAGGTTTCGCGGCCTTAAAGACACCAGCAGCTCAATTCCTAGCTAGCTAAGGATGACCCGGGACACAGCGCTGCTTTGTCAATCAGCCCACGCAAATGATAGCAGTTTTCAAGACAGGTACGGTTGCCAACAGCTTGCCTGCCCACACGTCTTCACGGCCCAAACCCGACCCGGGAGTCCCACGCTCAAGCTTCCAATATGTGGGGGAATGGAAACCCAGGTCCACAGCTGGGCTCCACAGCCCCAAACCCAGGTATCTCCCGCCCCCCCCCCC